TGGGAGATGGTGGCTGGTGGACGGCGGCTGGCGGTGGGAGGTGGGCGGCGGTGGCGGGAGGAGAGGGGCCGGGGGTGGGAGGCGGGTGGCGACGATAGACGGTGGCCGGCCTACGGCGGCCAGTGGCCCACGGTGGGAGGAGGGCGACCGGTGGTGGGAGATGGTGGCCGGTGGACAGCGGCTGGCGGTGGGAGGTGGGTGGCGATGGCGGGAGGAGAGAGGCCGGGGGTGGGAGGTGGGTGGCGGCGGGAGACGGTGGCCGGCGGCCAAAGGCGGACGGCGGTGGCGGGAGGAAGGAGGCCGGGTGTGGGAGGCGGGTTGCGGCGGGAGATGGTGGTTGGTGGTGGGTGGCGACCGTAGGTCGCCGGTAGGGGGAGGAGAGTAGGCGGCGGCAGGAGACGGTGGCCGGCGGCGGCGGCCAACGGCGGGTAGCGACGATCGGCGGGTGGCGGCGGCCGGCGATTGGCGGCGGGTGAGTGACCGGCTAGTAGTGAGGGAAAGTGATGAGAAGAACAAAAAAATTTTGTTTCTCATTTCTGTTCCAGAAATAGAGAAGCTAAAAATTTTAACTTCTGATTTCTGTTTCAAACCTATTTCTGGAACAAAATTTTGTTCCAGAAATAGAAATTGGAATTTCATTACCAAACAGATTTCTGTTCCAAACCTATTTCTGGAACAGAAATAGAAAAACAGAATGGTTACCATTCGCAGCCTAAGTTGCCCTAATAAGGAAAAATGGATAGATGCAATGGAAGAAGAAATGGAGTCAATGAAGTCAAACCATGTTTGGGAACTGGTTGATCTTCCAAAAGGATGCAAAGCTAGTGGGAACAAATGGGTTTTCAAAATAAAGCGAAAAGCTGATAGCTCAATAGAAAGATATAAGGCTCGCCTCGTGGCGAAAGGGTATAATCAACAAGAAGGAATTGATTATGAGGAAACTTTTTTTCCTGTAGTGAGATTTACCTCAATTCGCCTTATTCTGGCAATAGTGGCAAGTATGGATCTTGAATTACATCAAATGGATGTAAAGACTGCTTTTCTAAATTAAGAATTTGAAGAAGAAATTTACATGGAGCAATCCGTTGGCTTCATTATGAAAGGCCAAGAATAAAAGGTATGTCGACTTCTAAGATCGATATATGGCCTTAAGCAGTCTTCGAGACAATGGTATATATGTTTTCATAATGCTATAGTGGTGTATGATTTTACAATGATTGATGAAGATCATTGCGTATATATCAAAAGATCCAAAGACCAATTTGTGATCTTATCATTATATGTTGATGACATACTGATGACCGGAAGCAATAAGGAGTTGGTTAATACGGTAAAGAATTGGTTATCATCTAACTTTGAGATAAAAGATATGGGAGAGGTTGCATATATTCTTGGAGTTAAGATTTCAAGAGATCATTCCAAGAGATTATTGTCTTTTTCGCAAGAGATTTATATAAACAAAGTTCTTGAACGATTTTGTATGCATGATTGTAAACCCATGAATACTCCTATTGCAAAAGTTAAAGGAATGAGCCACAGGTTGTGTCCTAAGACTCCACAAGAGAAGGAACAAATGAAACGTGTTCCTTATGCTAGTGCTGGTGGGAGTTTAATGTACGCTATGATGTGTACAGGACCTGACTTATGTTTTGCAGTTGGAATGGTAAGTAGATACCAATCCAATCCAGGTCAAGCACATTGGAAAGCCGTCAAAAGAATCATGAGGTATCTAAAGGGTACTGCTGATTATTCTCTGAGTTATCAAGGAAAGGATCTGTGACTTGAAGGCTACTCAGATGCTGACTGGGGAGGAGATTTAGATGAAAGGAAATCTACCTTTGGATTTGCATTCTTACTGAATAATGGCGTCATATCTTGGAGCAGTAAGAAATAAACATGTATAGCATTATCCATCATGGAAGCCGAGTTCGTGGCATTGTCAGCAGCAGTACAAGAGGGAGTTTGGCTTAAGAGATTTTTGGATCATTTAGGTCTTGTTGAGCATGCTGCAAGCTCATTGTTAGTCAATTGTGATAGCCAAGCAGCGATAGCATACACCAAGGATCTGAAATATCATGGCAAGACCAAACATATAGATACCAAGTACAATTTGTTAAAGATATGGTAACACGAAAGGATGTGAACTTGCAGTATATATCTACGCATAGAATGATAGCAGATCCTATGACGAAGCCAATTCCTAGAGATGTTTTCAATGATCATGTAAAATCTCTAGGACTGCGTAGATACTGATGTACTGAATATTGTAATTTCCCTGAATGTTCGCATTTAAATGAAATTGTTATATCATTGTTAATGCCTATGAGTTTTTTTTATATTTATGCATCTTAATACTTAGTGTATTATGTCAAGAAAGTATGTCGGACAGATAAGATTAACCCACTCACACGGGTAATCGCCTCTATTTACTATGTGATAAATAGAGATGAGACAATTTTAAGCTTATTATCTAGGTGATAATCGAGAGCTCTAGCTTAAAATATAAATGTCGCCTTAGCTAAGTGCTAAGATGAGGACATAACATTTACTATGTCCGAAAGTAAAATAGTCCACATATTTTACTTTATCTGTCTTTGATGCCAGATGTGAGTTCTGATGGATTCTTTAGAAGAGTAGATACGTGAACTCAAGTTTAGACATTGAGTATGTCTGAACTATCATCTGTACGGTATTGAATGTAAAGACATACGCTCCACGGGAAAGGAGTTAATACCGTAATATGTATTTCATACTATGTATGCATGAGGCGACCGATAAGAGTGGCAAAAGTTTTGATCTCAACTTTATGCCGTGTGAGACTCTTGAGGATATGAGTTCCTCATTTAGTGCCCTCACGACTCTGACTTATTCTCAAAGTTTCTATTCAGTGTTTGCTATCTTAGGGTATTGCCAATGGTCATGAATGATTCGATCTAATTGGGTATTTCTAGAAAAGCGAGCTAGACTGAAATAGAGAGGTTTAAGGAAAGAGGAAGATCAATTTATTTATGATGTCACATTATATTTTTGTATTCACAGGTCGACCAATTATGATTTTGAGTAAATCATAGTTGTGAATACAATATACGAGATACTAAAAGAGATCAAAAGAGATATAAATGTGACTGATTAATCTAGGGTACTGCATACTATATCTACTCGAAAATGTTATGCCCAATTTGAGCTACTATGTATTCCTAACATATGCATGGCAACGAGCTCTCGAAGTATGTTGGTCGCACGGATTATTTACTAGTATGAACATTGCAAAGAAGAGAGAGTTATGTTTAGTCCACCATGTGCGAGTGGGAGATGATGGGTTTTGTGAATAAATGGGCCGCCCATGATGGGCTAACCCAGCCCATTAACCTTGAAAGAGCCCTGAAAGAAAATAACCGCAAATGGCAGTTATTTTGTGGGAACAAAAGTGAGAAGAAGAAAAACTTACGTAAGTTCTGTAAGTGGATTTGGTTCACTATCAGAAACTCTCACTCACTTGAAACCAAAAAGCGACTTTACTCGACAATCGAAGGATCGCTCTCTCTCTCTCTCGAGACTGCAATAGATGCATTTGATCTGTAGCAAAGAGGTATGTTCATTTACGTAATATACTTCGTTCGATCGGTGATTCAAGTATAGAATGGGTAAGTTTTCCGCGTTTTGCATTATGTTTAGGAATCTGTTTCCTACAATATGCTTCTAGACATGATCGAAGAAAGAGTTCGAAGATATCTTGTTTATTTTCTTTGTTAGATCTCTGCCTTTAGGCTGGTTCAACCATCTAAGCTCGTCACATGCAGACATTGCATTTCTTTTAGCAAATTGAACTATACCCTTTTGAAAATACACATTCAACAAATATATAACAATGCGACTCCTCGTAACCTTCGACAAAAGTTAAAGAACTTAAAATGAGGTCTTAGATTATCTACCTAAACATCCATCTTTGAATAAGCAAGGGCAATGATCTGATGTTTTGTGGAGGCAAAACTTGCAGAATCTACGATTGAGTTAAGAAAAAAGCTCTTTTATCATAGCTCTATCAAGTTCTTTTAACTGTAAAATGTTCTGTCCTCTTGTTTGATCATGCAAAGTTGCTAGCAAAAACAGATAAGCTATGATAAAAATTGTCAATTTAAAGTGCAATCATTAGCTAGATAGTTCATATCAGCACCAATAGATGATTGATTCAGCAGCAGTCATCGTTGCAATTCCCTCACTTACCGAATTTGAAGGGTATATCATGGTGATAAAGGATGAACTATGACCGGTAGACACCGGACAATATATAAACTGCTGAGAGGAAGCCGTCACTTTTTTTTTTATTACAATTGAAGACTCAAATATCCGACCAAAAAAAAAAGACTCAAATAATACCCAATTTCCACTGCCTTTATTGTGAATGACATTCCAATCTGGAGCAATAGAGTCCCTTAATCTTCTTCATTGGCTCATTCGGCTCGTGTCTCCACTAGGCGTAAGAGATAGATGATGTAGATCATCAACACAAAACTAGCGGAGTAGACATTTGTTTTGGGTCTAGAGTGAAAGCAAGAGTACGCTTGTCTTATAGCATACTAATAAGTAGTATTAATGTAAGAAAACCATTTACATCAATATTCACACAGACAAAGGAAAATTAGATAACAATATCTATGCTTTTTTTCATCATAGGATTGTGGAATGATGAAAGTACAAGCCAACAAGCTAATTATCACTTTATTTCTGCTCCCAACTGCTTCTTAATTGAACTTAACCGAAATTGGACTCCTAACAGAGTATTTCTTGGAATCCCACCTCAAATATCCCTGGGCAATATTGGCGACCTCGTGAGTGGAATTGGCACGGCTGAGTGTGATTGAATATGTTGCTTTCTGGTTCAATCTTGAGAAGTTGAGTTTGTCAGGCTTCACGGTGACATACACGCCCTGTGGGAAAATGATCGTGACAACATAAGGCGAATAGTCTATTCCAACATTAGTCACAATCCTGGCAAATGTCTATGAAGGTCCAAGGGTGACCGAAAATGAGGGGTAGTTCAGCTCTCCCTCAGGAATGCTAGAAACTCCCGAGCATTTCACTAGTTTGTGAGCAATTGTAGCCACCTGCTTGTCGGTGTATTCCAGACCACAGAGATAAGGAATGTAATCGTCAGGCTGAATGTCGTAAATGAATCTAGGGTCAATGGCCTTTACAGGATCAACATGGCCTGCTTCGATGGCAAAGACATCCGCGGCTTGAAGCCTTTTGTCCAGGATCGGGTTTTGATTGATGTTCAGCTGCTTAGCTGAAGTCATGGTAGCCGATTTGATCGCTGCTGCAGACCAGTCCGGATGAACACCCTTTATCAAAGCCGTGATGCCGCTGAGGTGAGGACAAGACATGGAAGTGCCAAAAAGAATGTCGAAGTAATATGTTGCTAATATGGCCCTGATGAACACCCTTTATCAAAGCCGTGATGCCGCTTTTGTGTCAGTTCTGATGGGAAATGGCCATGCTGCTAATATGTTCACACCAGGACCAATAATGTCTGGCTTCAGAATTCCCAGGGAAACCAAGCTCGGGCCTCTTGAAGAGAAAGAAGTAACCACAGGCGTGGTCGGGTTTCCAAACACCGAATGCAGGGTGGTCTGGCGTTACACCCATTACGATAACGCAAATGATAATTCCCTTTCCCATAGTTGAACCATTGAAAGATCCTTGATGCAGTGGTAAGCCCAAGAACTGGGGGCTGTGCGTTGTCTGGAGGCTGTATATTTGCTCTGGGTGAGCCGCCACAAATCCAGGCTTATCCTGCATTGCGGCGATTTCATCAGGAGTCAGCCTTGCTGCAATGCCGGTCATCACATTTCGTTAAGAGTAAAGAATGCGCCTCCGGTTCTCTAAGTCGGTAGAATTTGTGGGCAAAAAACGAGTAATACCAGGATTCGAGATCCTCCAATTCAGAAAGGTGCTGGCCACCAGGGGGAGTCACGTGGACAATGTAGGTTTGCAAGTCATTGCTCTGTGATTGAGCCGGAGATGACTGGCCATTGGCAAGAGAGAAGTTGACACTGCAAAACAAAACAATTAGGCAGAGGAGATGAATGAAAGCCATAGGTGGTCTTAGTCTAGAATGCAGATACAAGCATTGGAAAATGGTGTGGTTTGTGTTCAACGACTAATCAGAGCGTCTATTTATACAGAAGCTGGAATGAAGATATGGCCAGCTTGTGCATATCCGGTCAGCTATGTTCTACAACATCTCGGTCGGGCCCCTAGAATAATTTGTTGGAAGTGGCTTCTGTATCTAATTCTCAGAGTTGCTTTGAGAGCATTATCACTTGACCATCTAAACGAAGGAGCTGCGGCAAGCATTGGCTTGAAAGAGTTACTTTTAATAGGATGATTTAATTCTCAGTGTTCTACTCTTGATAGTTTGCATATGGTGGAGGTTGTTGCGTCGATGAGTGTATGGAGAGCAGGACCATCATGTTACTTGTAGCTTTTGAACTTGTTCCTCGTAGGTATTTCGCCATCAGATATGCCTTGTAAATCAGGATTTTAAACAGAATGCCCCGAAAAACCGGCAAAGATTGATCAACGTGAAGGTTATCACTTCTCGCCCATTGTTAACTAATCCTTGTACTAGTTACAGCACTCATTTGACATTTCTCCAATGAGACCGCAAAAAATGTTTTCGATACGAGTTTGTAAAATCTGAAGATGGTTTAGAAAATCACCAATAAATTACCCCTAATCTAATGGATGAAGGAATGTCAGCTCGATGCCGTCATTTGCCTCATGAGGTTGGAGCAATGAATTTTATGTCTCGATGCAGTTAGGTTTCTCAAATATGATCGTCGTGTGCCAATTCACTTTAATCTAGTGACAGGCGGTTTCTAAGAAGTACGTGCTCAGTACCATAAGCAGAATAATTTGTTGTTACCAATCGGTATCAAGTGCATGTGCAATTATGAGTCAGGAAGACATCAGTTGATGTTTTAAATGCTGAAGCCTAGTCATGTGAATATCGTGGTCTCGTTTGGGGAAGGAAAAATGACTAAAACTCAACCAAAATGGACATTTCCCAAAAATCAATGCTTTATCAACCAGAAGACTTGGAAACGAATGGCAAGAACCGTAACAATTGGACATCTCGATACGTCGAATCAACGTCGCTTCGAAGTGCTCAGTAAGAATTCCAAACCTTGATTTCTTAGTGAAGCTGTAATTTGGGATTGCATTGTATATCGATGTAGCATGTGAGGGGGAAAAGTCCTCGACTGTCTTAAAAGCAATAAACACAGGCAACAGACTAGTGGGTACACAGATATATAAAGCATAAGTAACAAAAAGGTTGTTGGACGAACTTCAGTCCGAAGGATTGCATATGTACTAAAAAGTTACATCAATGTTGCTAACCTTCCTTACATAAAATGAAACAGACTATCTAGGGTTGTTGGAGGAATGAAGGATTGCTGTACTCAGGAAATATTTGCAGCAGACTGCAGTATTTTGAGATTATTCTTTGACGTTCTTCTCTATGAATCAACATGTTTATTCATCTTTTGTTGTATTATGCATTTGTTATCTTACTCAAAGATCGCAATCCTCCCTTCACGATAAAAGTAGCCATTACATTTATTGACCTTGTTGATAATACAAGCTCTGTTTCCTTGGAAATGTTAGATACTAGTGGTTATCTCTTGAAAATTAACTTCAGCTTGTTTCTCTCCAACAGTACACGATTCAGATAACCAACGCAAACAGGAAAGAATGATGAATAACCCAAAAGGTAAGGATGCTGGTCAACAGGTGATGCTCATTCAAAAATTTGAATTCGCCTGTAGCCAGTCTCGGCGATGGCCGGCCACCGGTGAGGGCCACACTCACCCAGATATAGGCGAGGGTGTCGAGGTCTAACGATGGTCGCCCTCGCTAGATTTGCGAGAGTGTTGCGACTCTCGCCGGCCCGGCCACATGCAAAAAGGAAAATAAAGTTCAGGACTTTCTAGACAATTTTCCTCCCAAACAAACGTTGGAAAAATGATTTGAACAGTTGGAACTTTTGGAACAATCAAATAAGCATTGATAACTGGACTCAAATAGAAGTCCGTAATTTTGTACAAGAGTAGGTAGTTTTATATGTTAGTAAGTTACATAGATAACTCTTTGTAGATTATTGAAACAGTTGGCAATTTGGAAACAGTTAAATATATGTTGATAACAAACTTAAATCTATGACAATCTGGTGTCGAAAAGAAACGAAGTAAGAATTTTTTTCATGTGCCAACACAAGCATGAAAATTGCTCCTAGAAAAGACAGTTCATCAGAATTTCAAACCATAATGAGAGTGAATGGAGAGAGCACTAGTCCCTCTTCTTAAAATGCAGTGTAGCCCCAACCGTAACATCATTTTATCAAGAGCAGTTGCAACAGTATCCAAATTCCTACTGAAACTGATGCCTTTAAATTATCATGGTCAACATCAGACTGTTTGGCATGGGTATACTTTGCTACTATTGCTGCTAAGGAGATGAGAATAAATAAAAAGAAAAACATTGGCATGAAGAAACTGAAGCTCAACAACTGGAAAACTTCAATAGAGGAATGAACAGTACAGAAAATTAAAACGAGTGTACTCTCGGCCAAAATATGATTACATGGACTCTGGTCGCCGTTCAAAAGTCTGATCACCTTTACACAGATCAGTGGAGCAACTATTATCAAAAACAAAATTGTTGCGGCCACTGCAATGGATACTGAAACGGATATGAGTTCTGTACAATTACATCAACAGGCAACATAGCCATTAGAAGACTACCATATTTCCTGCGTGCAGAGTTGAGGAGCCAAAATTCCGATGCTTGCCATCAGCCACGTTACTCAAGCGAAATCCTCGATTCGGAAGCTGGTTTATAAGAAGAGTTTCCAGTTGGCAAGCCATGCTCTTCCCCGGAACTACGAAATAAATAAAAGATGCATTTTGCATTCCTTCCTTCGAACGATGTGCACGTATCCTGCCCTCAAGATTATCCGTCTAGGCAAAAAGCACACGTAATTGAGCTAAGATTGACAAAATTGTCATAGAGAAAACTCTCAAGTACCAACGAGAGACTATAATCGTGAACCATTGTGGTTCGTAAGACCAACGATATAACATGCCCATCCCCATTATACTCTTGCTGAAAAACCAATATATTTTTGCAGTAATCATAGCCTACCATGCAAATGAGGTATACTCTATATCAAATGGAAAGAAAATATCATTATTCATCAGAAAGAAAAAATTCTTAGATACAAAGGTGACTAGACTCCTCGGTGCACTCAGTATGTTGATTTTTTACGTGAAATTCCAAAAAAAAAAAAAGTTTCATACAACACAGTAATAAGCATAATCAAATTCGGAGTCCTTCCGCACAAAAAGAGATTCTGATTAGAGGTGGAAATGGAGAAATGGAGAAGGCAGAAGAAAGGTAAACGCCAGCTAAAAACGTGGAATGTGAGATGATAATGGTAAGAGGTTTGGTAATTTTACTATTATGCCCTCTTTGGTCGCTTAAGGCAATATCATATATGGACATTCCTACAAGTACCTTTCCGACATATATTAGATTAATCCAACTTTTTAGTTATATATTAGATTAGTGCTAGAAGTAAAGTACCTCTCCGACATATATTCTGCTGTCAGGGCTAAACATGACATAGACAACAGAAGCACCTATTGCAGATGGAGGCGGTTGTTCCCTAGCAGCCACGGACACACAGTGCAGTTCAGGAACTTCCAGTGGGTCCTTCAGCTTTCGGAGCTCCATCAACTTCTTTTGAAAGATCGTTATAACCGCATTCTTGACATCTTGCTGCCAGGCTTCCATTTGATTTGTCGATTCAATCTCATGATGGAGGGTGTCTGCTCCAATGTGACTTAACTGAGGATGGGCCTTATCAGAACCTTTTACAACTTGTGCAGACAAATTATTTCCTTTCAAGCCATACATCCCACAAAATGCTTCTTTCTTATGTTGAACATAGAGATCTTCTGCTCTTTGTATTATTGTTTCGGGAATTCCTTCTTTCTTGGCCGTCTCAAATGCAAGGCTTTCATGACAAATTCCATCTATCAATTTCCAAGTTGGCTTTGTCTGCCCATCAACATATGTTGTACCCATGGCTTTGTGCACAGTGTTCTTCGTATTCAAAGGCAAACCAAAAATTCCATGCAAATGAGTGGATATAATACCCAGACAACCAATTCTATCAAGAGTTTCAACAATACTGCCAGCAATACAAGTCCCTTTCGCTGTTTCTGTTCCTCGGCAGATTTCATCCACAAGCACAAGGCTTCTTGAAGTTGCTCTGGTAATAATAGATCGAATCTCGGACATCTCCACCTAAGACAATCGAAATATGAATGGACTTATCAATGAGCTCATGACATGCACATTGGTGCCAATACATCAAGATCCAAGTGCACAAAAGCTATTTGTCAGGACCATCAAACAAGCACATGGTAGTCCCCAACCTAACAATAGATCACTATTTTTAGATTTTATCATTTTTGTTTTGGCCAGACAAGAGGCACTTCTCTATTGTTCTTGTCTCAACTGACTGATTGCCAAATTCTTTTCCAAATTCAAGAGCACCTTCATTGCCACTGGTAAAATCAATATGGGATCTATTTGTTCGCGGCAAGTTATGAAAAATTCCTCCTCCTTAAAAGAAAAAAGTTCTGAAAAAATCCTGGCATTAAAATAAACAGGCAAATGCACTACACAACAATAATATCACACTAAAGAATGATACGGTACGTGTCAAATTGACAAACACAGGCATGTGGTGAGCACAAAGAGAACTATTCTTT